GCGGGCCAAACGGACCCCGCTACTCTTACCCTACCAAACTTCTGATCGTCCCACACATTCAGCCTCCTAAACACTAGCCCTGAGAGAAAGGGAGGGTCGATGACCCTCCTGAGGTTCTCTGAGGATATATCTCCCGTGGGTCGTGCAATCGTATTTCGTGTGTGTGTGTGTGTGTGTGTGTGTGTGTGTGTGCGTGTTGTGTGTGTGTGTGTGTGTGTGTGTGTGTGTGTGTGTGTGGTGGTGTTGTGTGTTGTGTGTGTGTGTGTGTGGTGTGTGTGTGTGTGTTGTGTGTTGGGTGTGTGTGTGTGTGTGTGTGTGGCGTGTGTGTGTGTGTGTGTGTGTGTGTGGTGTGGGTGTGTGTGTGTGTGTGTGTGTGTGTGTGTGTGGGTGTGTGTGTGTGTGTGTGTGTGTGTGTGTGTGTGTGTGTGTGTGTGTGCGTGTCACACACAAATGCACCACAAGCAGCACAAGTGCAAGATTACTTACGTCGACACCAAAACGAGCGAACAGTTCATCCACAATCAGATCAGACGATGCGCAGCCTGTCTCGTCCGTCTGTAAAAACAGGAACACTGCAACGTGTCTCGTCTGTTTGTATCGGTCTCGAAGGTATTGAGAAGGTATTGATATATATATATATATATATATATATATATATATATATATATATATATATATATATATAGTCTGACGCCGATATAGTCTGACGCCGGCGTTGGGTTAATGACACCACATAAATATATATAAATAAATAAATAAATATATATATATATCACCAGAAGGGATTGAGCAGCAAAACATTGCGCGGGTGCAGTTCTGATTTTGTTTCTAGATCACACTTGACAGAGTCGCACCCCACCCGTCTGACGCCGGCGTTGGGTTAATGACACCACCCAAAGCGCCACGGCCGTGATCGCGTAACTCTGACGCCACGTCAAGATGTCACTGACACTTGTAAGGATGCCACGGCCTGAGACTGTCACTGACTCACCGAGAGAGTGTCGCTGACTCACCGAGAGAGTGTCGCTGACTCACCGAGAGAGTGTCACTGACTCACCGAGAGAGTGTCACCGACTTTGACGCGTTCGTTTGGGTTGGAACCGTCCGCGACAGGCATCGTTACGGTGGCTCCAATCAACGGCTGACCGAAGGTGTACCTGCGTGAAGGAAGGTCAGCGTTCGTCATCTCGTAAAGTTTGTGCAACGCATTCCTGGTGGATCATATGCGTGGAGAAACGGAGCCAGATGTATTTCCATCCGGTGGAGCAGGCCATCAGCATTAGCTAAATCAGCGGAACATAACGCTACCAAATACATTTCGAAACCCACGAGCAAGCATTCTGCAAGCACAAATTTATTTTCCAAAAATGTTCCAGACTCCCCGACTCCAAACTCCCAGACCAGCGAGCTTCAGATTGAGCTGGCGGATTTTCCAGCTTCCAGTACCTAGCACCACTGTGCAGAGCCGCACAGCGGTAGAGGAGTAAACCTGAATCCCGTCGACACGTAAGGAGAGCGCAGCGGTTGTCTTGCGGCACAGCTTGGCTGCAGTGCAAATGACAAAACTCTCCTCCGGACACCCGGCGTTGTCATCACGGTGAGCGTGGCGATTCCATGACACTCGCAGCGAACCGTGTTGACGCATTTCGGAGGGCTTCGTCCACCGCATTTTACGTTCAGATATTTCTGACCAATGTCGGCCATTATACGGCACTTCATAGGTCACAGTCACGAAGTATGGTTGTGACCTGTGGTCACAGGAGCGCACATGGGGGACTGTCTTTTTTGTCCTCGATTGCTTCAACTGTTTTGACGGTAAATATGACCAGAAGCCTCTCGCAATGCTTAATATGTACGTTGCTGACACCTATTTGCGCGAGGACTATTTGGCGTGACACGTGTAATTTGGCAGGAGACGCGTAATTTGGCGGGTCCTGTGTGGCAAGAGCGAGTGCACCAACCTGACGGCTGTAATCATGTGTGGCGGGAGCGGGCGCACAGGCCTGGCGGCTGTAATCATGTGTGGCGGCAGCGGGTGCACAGACCTGACGGCTGTAATCATGTGGTGGCGGGAGCGAGTGCACCGACCTGACGGCTGTAGTCATGTGTGGCGGGGAGCGGGGCGCACAGGCCTGACGGCTGTAATCATATGTGGCGGGAGCGAGTGCACAGACCTGACGGCTGTAATCATGTGTGGCGGGAGCGGGCGCACCGACCTGACGGCTGTAACCATGTGTGGCGGGAGTGGGCGCACAGACCTGACGGCTGTAATCATGTGTGGCGGGAGCGAGCGCAAAGACCTGACGGCTGTAATCATGTGTGGCGAGAGGCCGGCGCACAGGCCTGACGGCTGTAATCATGTTGTGGCGGGGAGCGGGCGCACAACCTGACGGGCTGTAACCATGTGTGGCGGGAGTGGGTGCACATGCCTGACGGCTGTAATCATGTGTGGCGGGAGCGGGCGCACAGACCTGACGGCTGTAATTATGTGTGGCGGGAGCGGGCGCACAGATCTGACGGCTGTAATCATGTATGGCGGGAGCGGGCGCACAGACCTGACGGCTGTAATATAAGGCCCCGGTCTACAGAAAACAAAAACAAAGGAGGCGAAAGGGGCCACAGATGCGTGTTGCACATGGCGTGCTTCGTTAACGGAATCCATTAGCATCTATTAGCAACGTTTTATGTTATTGACTCACCAGATGAAAGCCTACTTTGACTAGGAATTTTTTATGGACACACATATGAATCTGAATCTGAATCTTATTCGCTGTGCACGGCTTCGCCAGCCCTAATCAGTTCGTGGGGCTCACTCTGAAATGCTGACAAATATGACACTTTGACGCTATGACACTTACCGGTGGTAAAGGTCAGTTTCATCGCGTACAGAAGATTATTAGCTTGCATGCTCATTTGGTGGTGGGATGATCAATGCAGGCCGGCGGGCCCATGTACCGTGCATTCGTCGCGAATATTGGTCGTCACTACAGGCGAGCTTGCCGCTACCACGGACTGAACAAGGTATATTATGAAGGTACAGCCTGAGAGGCTCACGCTGCAGCTAGCTTGTTGCAGCTCATGTTGCAACATGTCTCACGTCGTGCCTGCATGCCCTATGTCAAACGACGTTGGGATGAAGGTGACATTGGGCGGCCGTGTTATGGTATTGCATGGCGTGTTAGTTCCCTCGGTCTAAGTTGTACCCTCGACCAGGATTGCAATGCTAGGTTCGTGGGGTCGATATCACAATCTACAACCAGACAGGCGGAGAGTCTCGCCACAAGATCGGTCCGCACCAGGGCGGTTCGAATCCTACTAACACAGCACCTGAGGCAGTTGAAGAACGGCTACGCAACACTTTGAACGTGTTTTTTAAGGCAGGGGTAATTTTTCCCATTCTCCTGTTTTTCTCAAACAAGATCAGCTAAAAAATTTCAGCAATCTGTTTTCAATTGACTTATGAACAAGGGCACGAGAGTCGAAGATTACCTGCACCTGTACATAAAACTTTTCACTCCAGGCAAACTGCTTAAGGCTGATAAATAATATGCAGGCTCGGTAACGTGTCTCTAGTATTCCCACCCCATGTTAGAACAATCTGTGGAAGAAAATCAGCAGCATTCATTCACCCGAACTATCTTGCAGTAAATGTTTTCAAGCAAGCTTTTTTTTCCCCACGTTTGGTCCAGCATCCTAATGTCCGTGACACAATGCTACTTTAGCCTCCTAGTCTGCCTCGATTGCTGCTGATGATTGGCCATGAAAACGTGTCAATGTTTTTGATACTAAACCTTTCCCTCTGTGGTTCCCAGCAGGCCTATTTCAACGTGGTGACTCGTCAATTTGTAACTACTTGATATAACTACTTTCTAACATGTTTCAGCACTAGTGGGAGCAAAGACGGCAGTGAGCGAACGGATTCACTCCGCAATATCAGCTATTCAGGGCTTGCTATTCCGACCAGCACTCGATGGCTTACCAGATTATAACGCCACCACCGAGGAGTTGCTGCATTATGGTACCGCTCACTACCGCGGCTCTTCCTGGCATGCGTCGCTTCTGATACTGCCTCGTATTGGTATAACATCGCCATAGCCAGGGGTGCGGATTTAGAAGGGGTGGAACGGGGGGGGGGGAATCGAGGAGGTAGTGGGGCCCACTAACCGTCCACCATTGGCCATGCGGTCATTGTCTAGAGAGAAATGATAACAAATTTAGCTCACCTCTGACTTGAGAGGTTTTCTATAGCCCCTGCCCGCAGCTAAGTCGGCGTCCCGTTAGACACCTGTCCACCAGGCTAGCAAGCTATGTGGGTCCACGCCCCAGAAATAGCGCTCGTTTATGCATTTTGTCAAAGACGACGTAAATACACGATTGCCCGCGGTGGCGGTGTTGTGGCGTTTTACGATGCATCAAATTTCATAGCAATAATCTGATGGACGCCGCTGGCCTGGTGGAGTAAAGGCTTTGTGAAAAGCTTGTTTAGCATAGGCCCTGATCCATCAGTCATTTATAGGACGCGTTCAGGCAGAGTTGTTCAGACCAGACAATGGAAAATATCTCATAAGAGAATCCACGCCAATGCTAGGCAACAGCACCTCGAAGCTTACATTCACGTGACTCGATGCGATGGAAAAGTATCGACGTTGAGTTCGTATGACATCAAAGCTGTAACACTTTTTACTGCACTGGACTTAAAAGGCGTTGCAGCAGCGATAGGTGGCGGTGCGTGCAATCAACGTTGCAGCACGAAGCTCCCTAGTCATTACGAATTGGGTAAATCTGATAAAACCCGGTGAAACGGAAATTGCATGGATTTGGAAACTCTGTAGACTGTGGCCGGTTGGTGAAATGTCTTTCGCCAATGAGAGCTCGCCAGGAACTGTAATGCTTTCTACGCTTTGGCTAAGCCTTTTAGTCTTGCTGTCGCGAAGCACTCCATCAGCTAGCGCACAAGCATCAATCAGGCATGGCTTACTTGGCGCAGACGTCGACGGTGATGGTTTTGTCTCCCTCAGGCACGTAGGTTGGGTTCTTGACCTTGACCTCGAATGTAGGCAGCACATACTCCTCTACAACGAAACCCTTACTTTCGGGACCGTCATTTGTCTTCGCGTGGATAGTCCATCTGCCCTGAAAGTCAATCACAAAGTGTGCCCAAATGCCCCCAGCAGTGCTGGAGGGCCTTCAACCAGCTTTGTTGTCTTGGGAACGCAAGCTTTTCGAGCGATGTGCCAATGCACCTTAATAAGTTGGAAGCATGTGGCTTGACGGCTTTATCGGGGACGGCCCATCGGTCAGAGTGTGACCTCACCGGGGTAAGGGTAAGACTGCACCAGGGCGAACCCTCGCTCTTCAAGTAACGTCACCGGGGTGAGGGTAAGACCGCACCAGGGCGAACCCTCGCTCTTCAAGTGGCCTCACCGGGGCGAGGGTAAGACTGCACCAGGGCGAACCCTCGCCCTTCAAGTGACCTCACCAGAAGCGAATCTTCTGCTAGAGGATGATTTCACCGGAGAAAGGGGGCCAGCATGGCTAGACTATAACTGCACCCGAGCGACCACTTGACCTTCATGTGACCTCACCATGGGTGGCTCCTCGGTCAGCTACACCTCCAGCTGGATCATGCCTCCGCTGGTCTTGATGTCCCTCCACTGGGCGACGCGGATGTCTGGGCTGGTCACCCACACCTCAGGAACCTGAGGAGCAGTGGTCGATTCAGAAGCAAAACATCCGATGCATAGTTTGCACTGATCCTTACAACGAAACAGATGCGCTCCTTTTCAGTATACGAACAGAGCGAAAACACTTCCGAACCCAACGGAAGCTCCACATGAAGCTCCGGTTTATCAGCACATGGAGGTCACCGCTCACCAGCACATGGAATTCGCGTTTATCAGCACATAGAGCTGCCGTTTATCAGCACCAGTCACCACTAAGTAAGCTTGATAAGGACTTCGGCAGGTCTTTACCTCCACCTGCCTGCGTTCCGTAATGATAATCACACCCATCCAATAACGACCAGTGCACATAGCTAACCGGCTGTTTTGAAAAAAAAAATTCACTCTTAGCGTTCGGCAGTGAACTAATCCGAGGATGTACAGCTCACGTTTTCGATGATCGGCGTGAGGTCATATCTCAGGGCCATGACACGGATCAGAACTTTATCCCCAGGACGGTATCGGGGTTTGTCTGTCTGGATCAGCGTCACCAGCATGAAGGCCTTGATGGTCACCTGAAACGCGGTACAGCAGGACGGTAAAGGCGCATGTACGAATAGCAGGAAGCCTGCCGAAAGATTGAGAATGCCTCTCACCGATTATTTTTGCGCTGGCCAAAACACCTTGACCAGAATTACTGCATGGTTAAAACTTGTTTGTAGTTGGTGACTTGATATAACGGGATAATAGACAGCTCCTTTAAAATATTAAAACAACCCTTGAAAGCGCCCTGCAACACTTTGCTTTTGCTGCCCCAACACGTGGTCCGACCTGTAAGGCATTCCGACACAAATTCACTTCTGCAGAGCAGTCCAGAAATTCAAAGACCATGCGAGGTTCGCATGACATGCAACTTCAAACAAACACACAATCACCAAAGCTGCATCACAGTTTCCGTTGGGAATGCCAATAGTGCGTATTTCGGTGAGGGACATTTTGGTAGTTGTCTGATTAATTAATTGTTTAATGGTCCACACATTAGCGCGACACTGTGAACGTTTTGCAGCTGATGGCTTGTACAGTCACAGCTCGATGGCCTGTACAGTCACAGCTCGATGGCCTGTACAGTCACAGCTCGATGGCCTGTACAGCCACAGCTCGATAGCCTGTACAGTCACAGCTCGATGGCCTGTACAGTCACAGCTCGACAGCCTGTACAGTCACAGCTGATGGCCTGTACAGTCACAGCTGATGGCTTGCACAGTCACAGCTCGATGGCCTGTACAGTCACAGCTCGATGGCCTGGTACACAGGTCACAGCTCGATGGCCTGTGCAGTCACAGCTTCGATGGCCTGTACAATCACAGCTGATGGCCTGTACAGTCACAGCTCGATGGCCTGTACAGTCACAGCTGATGGCCTGTACAGTCACAGCTCGATGACCTGTACAGTCACAGCTGATGGCCTGTGCAGCCACAGCTGATGACCTGTACAGTCACAGCTCGATGGCCTGCACAGTCACAGCTGATGGCCTGTACAGTCACAGCTCGATGGCCTGTACAGTCACAGCTGATGGCCTGTACAGTCACAGCTCGATGACCTGTACAGTCACAAGCTGACTGGCATGTGCAGCCACAGCTGATGACCTGTACAGTCACAGCTCGATGGCCTGTACAGTCACAGCTGATGGCCTGTACAGTCACAGCTCGATGGCCCGTACAGTCACAGCTGATGGCCTATACAGTCACAGCTGATGGTCTGTACAGTCACAGCTGATGGCCTATACAGTCACAGCTGATGGTCTGTACAGTCACAGCTGATGGCCTGTACAGTCACAGCTGATGGCCTATACAGTCACAGCTGATGGCCCGTACAGTCACAGCTGATGGCCTGTACAGTCACAGCTGATGGCCTGTACAGTCACAGCTCGCTGAGTGTTCTGCTGCGCCAGTCTGCCGACGCCCGACCTCGGCGTGACCTTGCCGATGTCAGAGGGGCTGGCCTGTGTGCAGGCCCATCTGTTGCATTGGTCTCATATTGAGCACTTGAGATGAAAGCTGTCGGTGTCACGGTAGCCAGCTACCGATCAGTGCCAGCTGTACTGGCGTCGTGATTGTCTCGCAAAGCCGGTGCCTTGTTGTAACCAGGCGCTACCAAGCAACGTTCATTACACTGAAAGCCGTTGTCAGTGCCGGGATAGCTGCACAAATCATTGTCAGGTCTGTGATACATGGGGACTCATACATCTCGGCTGGTGCCAACACGGGACAAGCGCAGGATTTGTACAGATTTCGCCCCTCCGCTCCGTGTCCGTGGTGTCAGCCCGGGCAGTTGGGCATGGCGTCGTGTCCGTCTGCAAGCTCTCGCTTCCGCAGATGGTTGATGTGTCTGTCAGTGTGGATGACAGGTGCATGGTTCGGGCCCGTTCCCCTGGAACTATCGAGGAGATAACAGCAACTGGTGAGTGATGGCCGCGGGCTTAACGCTGTACCAACCAGCGACCAGCGACCAGCGACCAGCGCCCGCCGCACCAGCGACCAGCGGCCAGCGGCCAGCGACCAGCGCCCCGCCGTACTAGCAACCAGCGACCAGCGACCAGCAACCGCCCCACCGGCGACCAGCGACTAGCGCCCGCCGCACCAGCGACCAGCGGCCAGCCACCAGCGACCAGCACCCGCCGCACCAGCGACCAGCGGCCAGCGACCAGCTACCAGCGCCCGCCGCACAAACGACCAGCGGCCAGCAACCGGCGCCCGCCGCACCAGCGACCAGCGGCCAGCCACCAGCGACCAGCACCCGCCGCACCAGCGGCCAGCGACCAGCCCCGCCGCACCAGCGACCAGCGGCCAGCGACCAGCGACCAGTGACCAGCGGCCAGCGACCAGCGACCAGCGGCCAGCGACCAGCGCTCGCCACGCGGACGCCCGCCGCGGTGGCTTCACGAGCATGGCCGGTGTTTAGATATACCGTTTGGCTGGTGCCATGTCGGAGGGCACTAGTGGCAGTTTTTGCACTAGTGGCACCTGGGACTAGTGGCAGTTTTTGACTTGGGCAGCCTTCCTCAACTGGCATCGCGAAATTGCGACGCTGGGCTAGATACTATTTGATCTGCTTTGCAATATTTGAGAAATATCGAGCCCGATCACACGGCGTTAACGGAAATGTTTTGGGACCATCGGAGCGCAGTTGGAAAGGCTGGTCGTTGTTGCAGCTGCAAATGCGTGCTGCCAGAACCAGCTGTGCCGAGATGTCGACCTGCCAAGGCCCGAGGCTATAGCCGAGTTGACGTGACAACTCCATAAACTCTGAAGCATGGCTCACGAGGTCTACGGTCTTCCCTTGATAGTTCAGATGGGCACACCACTAATATGAGCTCGTAATGAAATTAGGGGCATGACTTGCCATTTACTCGACGCTCATGCGTAATAAGTTTCGACATGAGAAGTGAATATTGCGCATTTACATCCTTGCATCTTGTATACGAACCGTCGCCTGATCTGATAAGCTGAGCCCGGCGGCGCTGGAGACGATGACAGCCAGGTGACCCGTTCCGTTCCGAGCGCGGCATGGCCAGATCAAAACAGTGATCGCCATCAGCTGTGGACGACGGGAGAGTCAGGGCGATAGCCAATCAGAGGGGCCGATCGGCAACCGAGCCAATCAGATCGTCAGATGTGAGTTGATGACAGGCAATCAGGATAGTGATGGTAAAATAGCAACAGCCAATCAGGGTGACAGTAGAAAGCGACGATCAGCACACAAATAAGATTTTAGTTGTTCAGAAGGCAAATGGCAACCACTGTCGCAAAAGCCAAGTTCAGGATGTGATATTTCGAGGAGTCTGTAATACAGATTTGTAGCTGGCAAACAGGAGAGCAATTAAAGCGCTCCTAAGCGATTTCGATGACGAAGCACCGTTTTACGCATGTCGTAAACGAGTTAGCTCTAAGCTCCTCTTAAGTGTTTCCCCCGGGTACCCGAAGAAGCTACGCCTTGAAAGCTCACCGCCCACAGTGTCCGGTATTCTGCCCACCAGCGTCGAAAAGGGGAAGCCCCCGGCATCGCCCCAGGCGGAGAGGTGCACGTTTCGCCTCGGCCCGGGCGCGTTGAAGAGCGTGATGCAGACACGCTGACTGGTGCCCGCCCGCAGCACCTTGGGCGACGTTAAGAGGAGGCCGCTGTGGAAGGGGATGACGTTACCGATGAGACGCACAGGACGCCTGGAAGGTCCTCTACCACAACTGGGCCGGCTGAAGCTTAGGACGAACGGAACATCTGGCAAAAATCAACGCGTCAACACAAACGGCGTCTAGCCAGGCAATTTTTCCGATAGATCTAATGAATGGGACGGAAAATTACATGAGCCGGATCATTAAAATGATTGCAACTCGCGGACTTTGTTGCTTTCTTTTTAGTTCGCTTCCGTTTTACAACCCTGGTCACGGTCATCTCTGCCCATCCGACGCGCCGTCGTCAGCTTGCAGCATTCGCGCCGCTCCCTGTTTAGTCTCCAGGCAGATTTGTCCGTCAATATTTACACGCTTGAGGCACAGTTTATTCAGGTATATCTGCCCACATTTCATCACATAAAGGCTGACATTTTCGGCACGGCGGACTGCTCCGGGGTCGTCACCATCCAGACCAGAGCACAGGCGACCGGACCGCATTGATTACATTTGGAAGAGTAATCAATGCGATCCAAGTACACAACATGACCGCTGAAGATGTGTTGCTCGGACTGGTGCTGGCATGAATCTAAACAGCCTGCTCGGGCCCTCCCAAACGCTTCGTGATCCCATGCATTCCACAGATGATGAAAGGCGAAATGATACCGTTGAAAATTCACAACGACGTTGGTTTTTCACTATGGCGCATCAAGACCCCCGCAAATTGTCACATGTGGTCCGTGGCAGTTTGTGGTACAACGCATCGAAACCAAGACCGCATTAGGCACGCGGTACTTCAAACT